ATCTCGTAGACGACGTGTCATACGCTAGCGTGATCGATAATTCGGGTGGCTCAGTTGTGTGTGATGGGAGTGTAGAGCAGCTCGGCCATGACGGTCCGTAGGGGTAGGTAAAGTCGTACAGACGTGTGGAAAAACGTGTGGTATTCATCGAGGGCGTGCTTGAGCTCGTCATTCCATCACGGCATCAAGTCACGCATAACGCTTAAACACCCAAAACGAATCTCCATAAATGCCCACCAATCTACCACACTCCGAAGGAAAACATAAAGAAACTTCTTGTTCCTCCGTAGTTCGTCACTGCAAATCCCGCATATGTATACGCAATATACCACCCCCATGCTATGCTACGAGTATATCGAATAACCTCTCCCATGTCGGTCATCTCGAATCGATCCCAAAGGGATAAGCGTGTAGTCGCCGCACACTGTTTGGGGTGCTCGGCAGAGTATACTGTCTACGGGGCCTCCGGGGGGTACGCGGATGAAATGTGTTGATGGGCATGCTGCATGGCGATGGTGGTGCCTACCTCATGTCTTTCACACTCTAAGCAACAAAGTCTTCAGTCAACTTTCTTTCTCGTTCGGCCTCTGACGAGCTACCGCACCCAAACACGCACCAAACAAACGTGCGCGACACATTCATTCATTCACGGAGCATCACGTCCGTCAACCAAACAAACCGACCAGTGGCTTAAGAAGGGTGAAAACCAGATATGTTGTTAGTAGTGTGCACTGCCGCCCTCAGCGGTTTGTGGTGTTGAGACTGGGTGCTGTGTTATCCCAGGAACAGCAGATGAAACAGGACTATCTATGTTTTATAAATTCGTCACGCAAGCCCCTCAGGCAAGTGTCGGGAGCACACCCCCATGTGCTCACCCGGAGGCCCCGCACTTGGACCTCAACCGCATACATACCCACCATACCCACAGTTCCCATACCATATCCCCCACAGAGGATGCACAGATCGGACTCATATTATTCAAGTACCACAAGTATATGTATCCGCTTTCATTGCACAGACAGGCTCTCGTGGCCTCAAGGCGACGACGACGTAGCAAGTCTATCATGCGCCAAGGAATAACATGCGAACAAGATCGACCTCGAACCAGTCAACGCCAATGATATGGGGATGGAGTGTAGACGCATCGTAGAACGCGTTTTCGTTTGAAGTTGGCGTCTTGTTTGAGAGTAGATGTGACAGATTTACGTAGAATAGGGTAAGGTGTTATCATGAACGGAGAAGAAAGTGCTTTTCCAACACGGAGATGTAGCATGGATCAAAGCAATTGTTGGATTTCAGCTTTTACAAGGACATCAACGCAGTAGTATTTTAGCAAGCTTACGAACGCATGTAGCATACCATGAGGATTGATTGTCATTGGTATTATTTCAAATTGAAGAGGAGATATTTTTACGATGTAAGTGACAGTACAAATAAGTCATATGTTGTACTTCATATTGGTTTGATATTCATGTAGAGTATGAGACATTACGTGAAAGTTTTCTGAGGTACACCTACTACCTGCAATTGTCGGAAAAAACAAAATAAAATGACATGTCATCAACACGACTGTGACAGGCAACAAGCAAGCGCCGCCTTCCTCAACCACAGAGAAACGGTGGAATTATTCAACGGTTCAACAAACAATGCAACTAACTGCTGTGTAAAGGATGCTACCATAGGGGGTTCCCCCTCGGTCACATGGAGTGTTTTGGTGGGCTTGTTTGTACTGCCTGAACAAATGGAAAAAAATGCCTTTTGTTTCGCACACCGCGAGATATACGTCAGGCGGCTGCCTGGGCAGAATTGATTTGCTTGAAATGCAAAAATTGAGAGAGTTACGAGCATTCTAATGGACCTTGTCGGGCGACAGCATGTGACCCATGTCTTAAAAAGTTCCCCCTTCCGTAGCAGTGCTCGTGAGTGCTACTTCTGTACGTAGGTGGGATTTTGTGTTGTTGCTCTCACGGTAACGTACTCCGCGGTAACTCGAAAGCACGGCAATTCCGATTTTTCCGCGGAAATTGTTGTTGTACGGTGGTAATTAATGGGGCACTTACCTTCAATTCGTTTGCAAACGGTTTGGGCGTCAACGGTAAAATCCATGTATCACGCAGGAAACGATTCGGGTGGGAGCGGTAATTAATTCTCATTTCTCACGGGATCACGGAAAACAGCAATTAATTATCTATCTTGGTGTTACTGCGGTAAAATTACCGCGGAGAAATTAACGAGGACAGCCCTGCCTTTTGGTCATCCGCAACGACCACCAGACACAGGGGCTAACCAGCGCACAAACATGAGAAGAAACGCTAGCAAAACTACTTCTGACTGGCGTAGGCATACATGCATACATACATACATACATACATACATACATACATACATACATACATACATACATACATACATACATACATACATACATACATACATACATACATACATACATACATACATACATACATACATACATACATACATACATACATACATACATACATACATACATACATACATACATACATACATACATACATACATACATACATACATACATACATACATACATACATACATACATACATACATACATACATACATACATACATACATACATACATACATACATACATACATACATACATACATACATACATACATACATACATACATACATACATACATACATACATACATACATACATACATACATACATACATACATACATACATACATACATACATACATACATACATACATACATACATACATACATACATACATACATACATACATACATACATACATACATACATACATACATACATACATACATACATACATACATACATACATACATACATACATACATACATACATACATACATACATACATACATACATACATACATACATACATACATACATACATACATACATACATACATACATACATACATACATACATACATACATACATACATACATACATACATACATACATACATACATACATACATACATACATACATACATACATACATACATACATACATACATACATACATACATACATACATACATACATACATACATACATACATACATACATACATACATACATACATACATACATACATACATACATACATACATACATACATACATACATACATACATACATACATACATACATACATACATACATACATACATACATACATACATACATACATACATACATACATACATACATACATACATACATACATACATACATACATACATACATACATACATACATACATACATACATACATACATACATACATACATACATACATACATACATACATACATACATACATACATACATACATACATACATACATACATACATACATACATACATACATACATACATACATACATACATACATACATACATACATACATACATACATACATACATACATACATACATACATACATACATACATACATACATACATACATACATACATACATACATACATACATACATACATACATACATACATACATACATACATACATACATACATACATACATACATACATACATACATACATACATACATACATACATACATACATACATACATACATACATACATACATACATACATACATACATACATACATACATACATACATACATACATACATACATACATACATACATACATACATACATACATACATACATACATACATACATACATACATACATACATACATACATACATACATACATACATACATACATACATACATACATACATACATACATACATACATACATACATACATACATACATACATACATACATACATACATACATACATACATACATACATACATACATACATACATACATACATACATACATACATACATACATACATACATACATACATACATACATACATACATACATACATACATACATACATACATACATACATACATACATACATACATACATACATACATACATGACATACATACATACATACATCCGCTGTGTGACATGATGTATACTAGTATAATTAATTGCCGTTGAACAAGAGAGAGGACTCCACGACAGAGAAACAGACACCCCCGCTCTCATTTTTCCCGTTAGGATTTATTTTACATCGTTTCGTCACGCTATCACGCACTAAATCCAATCAATCCGTTCAAAGGAAGGATCAAAACAAAGCGGACCACGGATTGGAGGCAGCCCTGCAAAGAAAGCAGGGCAATTTATTAAACCATAAACGACGCCTCTCCTTGTTTAGATGTATGTATGTACTTTACTATACCGCTACAACTCTGTGCTCATGTTCTCTGCTGAGTACCATCTCTTCTTTCTGTATTATGTCTACGGAAGGCTAGTTGCCGCAGTCGCATATATGGTAAACTGTGCCTGACTACGTTGTAACAGTTTTCCTCTTCCTTGTTTTATTGTTCCGAACCCCGAAATTCCGGTACTCGGGCCATTACCCCGGAGACCCTCGGAACCTGCTGTGTTTTTTGCTGCTTGTTTTTTTTGTTTTTGTTTTGTTGTTGAGATGAGACACAAGCGCGCCTTCGCCCCTTGTGCTCACTCTCATCTAGCACTCATCAAAGCCTGACCAGGGAGTCAGTTGATAAGAACATCTATCTGCATTTCTCTTTCCAAAGCTCGCTCGGGCCTATCGATCTCACAGCAGTGTAGACCAACCTCTGTGTTAGAGCGGTGACAGCAGCAGTGTAACCTCTGTGGTAGACTACAAAGTCTACGAGCTACAGCAGCACCGCCACCTCCGCTGCTGCAAGACGCCACATTCTGTGACTTTCCACTGGTCATCTACTTGCCTACCCACCGACGAAGCACTTGCTTCCTACCGCATTTCGCTGAAAGAGCCAACGGCGCTAACCACCTACTTGCACATCACAGGTTCGCGTTGCACCAGATACTCCTTGCCAGCGATCCGTCGATGTCCGTACAAGCAAGAGTGAGTATACTGCATGCATGGGCATGTCTGTGTGATGTATTTCAATGAAAAATGCGACATCAAGTCTTTGAACAAAGAAATAGCTTACAGGCAAACAGTGACGGAGCGAGTTGCGGGCATGTGTACAAAAGCAACAAAAAACTATCAACGGAATGCGCCCCCCTACCCGTCCTACGTTTTTTCACTCACTCTCGCTACACTTCACTGTGGCATTTCGCCGAAGTCGCTAATCTTTGTCACAGCTCGAGGTGAGCAATCTTGGGTGATGAAATAGTTGCGAAACAGGGGATAAGCGGGTCATCGGATAGAGCTAGAGCTTTCTCGTAGAAGCCACCAGCGCCGCTATCCACTGCTGAGCGTACAGAGTACTTGGCGTCGAGACCTACCTACAAGGATGGCAGACAAACAAAACCTACGTCCAACATGAAGCGAAAGAGAACCTTCCCGCCGGTATGTGTTCCATTCGCTGTCACCAGTTCAGTGGAGGCCACCATAAAGAGGCGTCGTGAGTGCTGGCACATTGTTCAGGTTTGCTCCCGGAGCTGAAATATTGGAGGTAGGTGGGTGCAAGCAGCCTCGCAAAACACCCCGAAATCTGAGCCGGAGGCAAATGAATCCAAAACGTTTTCACAGTCAGTCGTGCTCACTGCTACGGACCGCAAACGCCCGAACGGAGGGTTGTCAGCAGTAGCTAGTGGCATTGGCTCCATAAACATGCAGTTCAGGAGATTGGGGTCAGTGACGGCGAGCAAAAGCAGCACGACGCTGGGTGTCGCTCCAATTTGCGGAGATTTGCGGAGACTGTACGCCAAAAAGTGCGGATGCATGTACGTATTTTTGTTTTTTGCTCCCATCATTGGACTCTGTCGTCTGCCCCTATGGCCCCTATCCTCCACTTCTGCCAGCTGGACGCCCAACCGGGGTCACAAAAGAGGGGGGGGTTGGACCTCCTCCTGCGGTACCCTCCTGCGATACCTGCCTTGAGATATTTTTATCGCGAAAAGGGTACAGCAATCCCTTCCCTCGCGACTTACGAAGTCGATCAAGTTTACTAACAAAATAACAACGAGCTTTGCAGCGCGTCGCTTCCAACGGAGACCAGGATTTAATTAGCGAGGAACAGCTTACTCTGTCAGGACTCGAACCCATGACCTGGCCCATAGCACGCTGCGAGGCTGCCTACTAGACCACCGGGGCGACCGGTGTAATGTGGCCGTCGGTATCACCACCACAGAAGAAGCAGATTTTAGCGCGCCAACACACATCCTGAAAGGTAAACTACGCGGGGTGCAGCAAGCACGTTCTGGACGTTACTTGGGGCACTGGGTAGTCGGCCGTGTTAGACTGAGAGAGAGAGGTTGAGATAGAGTTGGAGAGAGAGTGGGAGAAGGAAACTTGATTGGAGAGAGACGGGAGTGGTGGTGGAGAGAGAGAGGGAAGAAGAAGTGCGCAGCACGCACGCAAGCTCCATCGCACCAACCACGCCAAACGGATCCCCGTGACTGCACCAGTGGTACCCTACTACACACGAAATTCCCAACACGTATCCCCTGGGATCCTCACGACCAGATACCGCTGCGAGTATATCTAACATCCCCCCTGTTCGCAACAGTATCTTCACTGCAAATTTTGAAATAGTACCGGATATCTCAACCAAAAGACGTCTTTCCCAGACGATATGCCAAGACTTTACCAGAATAACATAAGAGAAAGAAAAACAATTCAAAGGAAGCTGCATCGCGCGTAACAAATACTTGGCGCGGGAAATGAAAGAAAACGGGAAACAAAACGAGAAACAAAAAAAAAACAAAAGACAACCTATCAGAAAAACAACAAAATGTTCATGCCAAATTCATCACAAAATCACGGTGAGACTCGAAAGCATCCTTCGACAAACTCTTCGTAAGGAAGTCTGCACGCTGGTACGGCGACGGCACGTGAATGACCGAAATTTCCTTCCTCTCTACCAGTTCTCTGAGAAAATGGTGCCTTACATCTATGTGCTTCGAGTTCGAGTTTGAGATGGGGTTCTGCGCTAGTTGAATCGCCCCCTGGTTGTCCTCGAAGACGGGGATGCACGGCATGCCGACCTGCGGCAACATGAAACGCCAAATCTGCCTCAAAAACAAAATCTCCTTCACTACGTCGCCTAGCGCGACGTACTCTGCTTCTGTCGTCGAAAGCGTGACGCACTTTTGCGTTCTGGAAAACCAAGACACAGCGCCTCCTCCACACGTCACGATCCCCCCTGATACCGACCTACGGTCTGCTGCCTTGCTTGCAAAGTCCGCATCAGCGTATCCCTGCAAGCTGAATCCCTCTACCGTACCTCTCTGAAACGAAATACCAAAGTGACT